TCCCAATCACCTTCACCATAGAAAAAAACTTCTGATAAATTAATCATTAACGTAATTGTCTTAAAATCTAATCCTTTCAACGTAAAAACTTTAGAGATGGAGAACAGATCATTGGTTGTTAAGGGTGGAGGGGTGGGGGAGTTCCTACAGGGGGTAGCAGGAGGGAATCGAGGCAGGGAGTGATGGAACTTTTCTGCATCCTGATTGAGATGGGGGTTACACATCGCAACGCATTGGTCAAAACCCATGAAAATGTACACCAAAAACAGTGAATTTTACCATATGTAACTTTAAAATAATTTTTTAAATTGCAAAACAAAAAATCCAATCTTTTCTGGCTAGAGAATAAATCAAAATTGTGACATACATGAACTTTTAAATGTCTAAGATATTTTAACAGCAATATTCTATATATTATCCTATAATTAACATAAGTCAAATCCAATTTTAGTTACCAGCTCTGATTTACTCAAGCACAAAATGTCAATACCATAATAACCATGAGGCACTGCTTTTCTATAATAGAAACAAAAAGACTTGAAATGCACTTACATCAACACAAAATATGAGTGGTATTTCCCATTTATGGAAAAGGAGTTTTATGACATTTTAGGCTTGGCTTCATAGATCTCTATTTTTCTGCCCAATGAGGTTTCTTAATGTGCATGAATTATTGTTCTCAATCTCTAAAAAGTAATATATATATACATACATAAGGTAGACTTCAAAGATTTAATACACCTTAAAATGATTAGGCATGTACACGTTGAGAGATCCAACACAGATGGCCAACAGGTACACGAAAAGGTGCTCAACATCACTAATCATCAGGGAAATGCAAATCAAAACCACAATGAGATATCACCTTACACCTGTCAGAATGGCTATTATCAAAACAACAAGGTAACAAATGCTGGCGAGGATGTGGAGAAAAGGGAACCCTTGTGCACAGTTGGTGGGTATGTAAATCGGTGCAGTCACCATGGACAACAGTATGAAGGTTCCTCAAATTAAATTAAATTAAACCTAAATTTAATTAAAAAATTAAAAATAGAACTAACATATGATCCAGCAATTCCACTTCTGGGTATTTATCTGAAGAAAACAAAAACACAAACTCTAAAAGATATCTGCATCCTCATGATCAGTGCAGCATTATTCACCACAGCCACGACACGGAAACAAGCTAAGTGTCCAACAATGGCTGAATGGATAAAAAAAATCTGGTGTATACACACACACACACACACACACACACACACAATTGAATACTATTCAGCCACAAAAAAGAAGGAAATCCTGCCATTTGCGACAACATGGATGGACCCTGAGGGCATTATGCTAAGTGAAATAAATCAGGCAGAGAAAGACAAGTATTGTATGATCTCTTACATGTGGAATCTAAAACCAAACCAAACCAAACCAAAAAAAAAGCTAATAGATACAGAGAGCACATTGGTTTTGCCAGAGGCAAAAGGGCAGGGGGGGGACAAAATGGGTGAAGGGGTCAAAAGGTACAAACTTCCAGTTATAAAACAAATAAGTCCTGGGGATGTACTGTACAGCATGGTAACTATAGTTAACAATACTGTATTATATATTTGAAAGTTGTTGAGTAAATCTTAAAAGTTCTTATCACAACAAAAATAAGTTTGTAACTACATGTGGTGATGAATATTAACTAGAATCATGTGTTGATCCTCTTGCAATACATGCATATATCAAATCAGTATGCTTTACACCTGAAACTAATATAATATTATGTCAATTACATCTCAATGAAAAAAAGAGATCCAATCCACCGAAAAGTCAATGCGTGCATTGTGCATTTTTAAAAAGCTATAAGATGTTTCACTCAGAAAACATTAATTCATAAACTACACAATGGCAAAGATAAAGTCCCAATACAAACACATTTTCCCACTGTCACCTCATAGGTTCACTGTATACAGAAGGCTTGGCCACCAAATAGATTTTTCTTTTCCAAAGCTGGAGAAGAACAAAGCAATGTGAAAATGAGCACTGTGCAAATAAAAACAATCCAAATACCCTTCAACTGGTGAACATGTAAACAAATTACAGTATATCTATGCAAATGGAATACTACTCAGCAATTAAAAAGGAATGAACTCTTGATACTTGCAACAACAAAGATGGCTGCCAATTACAATGAATGAAAGAAGCCAGACACTACCCTCCTGCTCTCAAAAAAAGGATGTACTGTAAGATTCCATTTCAATAAATCCTAGGAAATGCAAACTTATCTAGAGTGACAGAAAACAGATCAGTCATTGCCTGGAAGAGAGTGGCGGGAGGAATTACAAAAGGGCAGGAGTAAACTTTTGGCAGTGACGGACATGTTCATTATCTTGATTGTGGTGGTCGTTTCACTGGTTTACACATGTAAAATACATCAAATTGTATACTTTAAATATGTGCACTTTACTATATGACAATTGTACTTCTACAAAGCTGTTTAAAAAGACTATTTTTTTTAAAAAACACATCTTTCTGGCCCAGTATATTGTATTCTGAATACCCTCTTTCCCAAACAGGTATGTGTCCTGAAAAGTCATGGAAATGTAATACCTTTTACCTTAGTGATTCGCATGCGTGGACAAACCTTAATAACCCAACGATTTAAATATAATAACAAACACCAATAGTTAATTAATATTTACATGGCTGTAACCATGTGCCAGGCATTGTTTTAAGCACTTTTCTTATATTAACTTATCAAACCTTCACATCAACCCTATCTTACAGATGAGGAAACTGAGGCACAGAAGAGTTAAGTAATCTGCTCAAAGTCACAGAGCTGGTGAGTGGAGGTGCTAGGATTTGAACCCAGGGAGTCGGGCTCTAGAGTTCATGTCCTCACCCACTATGCTCTACTGGCATACACAAGATAAGATACAGTACAGTCATGCATCACTTGACAACAGGGATACGTTCTGAGAAATGCATTCTCAGCCGATTTCATCGTGCGAACATCACAGAGCGTACTTACACAAACCTAGATGGTCTAGCCTACTACACACTTACGCTATATGGTACTAATCTTATGGGACCGCCATCGTATATGCGGTCTGTCTCCCCTCACATTCAATGAATATAAGTATTCACTACATTTTGCAACATTCACATGAGGCTAAATAAAAAATAACAGGACCCTCACTCTTCTTTTCCCAATTAATAGATGGAGAAAGGAGACAGAAAGGCTGGACAACTTGCTTAGAACATAAAAAAATGGCAAGTTGATCCATTACTGAGAACCTGGTTCACCACGTTCCCAGTCCAATTCTCTTCGTTGCCTGCAAATTCCTAATTATTTTAAGTAAAACCGTAGAGTGAAAAAAATCTAACATCCAGAAACGTGGAAAATGTAAAAGTTGTTTGCTGTTTCTCCAATACCTGACCGGTTCCTTAATTCCATCCACAGGGTTTCAACCTCTGCTGATACTGGTCTGGAGTCTTTTTTTATTTTTATTTTTTTGTGAGGAATATCTGCCCTGAGCTAACATCTGTTGCCAATCTTCCCCTTTTGCTGAGGAAGACTGGCCCTGGGCCAACATTCGTGCCATCTTCCTCCACTCTACATGGGACACCACCACAGCATGGCCTGACAAGCAATGCGTTGGTCCACGCCTAGGATCCGAACCAGCGAACCTCAGCAGCGAAAGCAGAATGCCCGAACTTAATCCCTACACCACCAGGGCGGCCCCTGGAGTCTTTTTTTAAAAGCTCCCCAAGTGATTTTCATGAGCAGCTAGGGTTGAGAACTCCAGAGATAAATAAGATTAGGTTTCTTATTAAAGGAAGACACAGAAGAAAACAAAGTGCCACAAAAAGCTTTCGTAAACCATGGCCCAAGGTTCTCCAGGTCAATATTGAACTGTTGAACACAAGCAGGATTTTGAATAAATTAAAAGTAAAAATATGCACACAGGATACGAGATGTTGTTGTAAAAGATAACAATATACTGGATTGACAAATTCTCTTCAACTTTTTAGAATGCTAAACTGGCATCTTGACATCAAGTCATTGCACTAAAAGCACAGAAAAACGTGTAATATGTCCACTGCACTTAAAACATGGAAGAAACTGAAAACATATTGTGAATCTGTTAAAGAAGCACATGTTGAAAAGAGACCATCTTTATCTTTAGTCCATGCCCTGAATTCGTGCTCCTTGAACTTTAGGGTGCGCTTCTTGGAGAAGATTCTGATTCAGTGGGTCTTGGGATGGGGCCTGAGATTCTGCAGTTCTAACAAGCTCCCAGGTGATGCTGATGCTGCTGGTTGATGGACCACACTTTGAGCAGCAACGCCCTAAGAACTCAATATTGGCTGTAAAATCAGCCAATTGGCCTACAAATATGGTTATGTCTAGATCCAAGAAATGAAAGTCAGTACATTGATTCCTAGTCCAGGGAATAAAAGGGGGACAGAAGGAGCAAGAGAATACCTGTTTGTATATTCTAGCAGTGCTAAGAACCATAGAAAACTGTTACTTGCCCCAACCTCACAGCTATCAAGGAGACAGACACCACAGAGGTTTTTTGTTTATGGCCTTGCACACATTAGGTACTCAATAAATGCAGTGAAAGAAATAAATGAATGGGAAATATATACACCACAACCAACATACTTATGTCACATCCCAAAAACGTCTGGGAAAGGTACTATATTTGTACATACGGGGCGCGTGGCCACAGTTTGATACAAATAGGTGAACCATCCATTGTACTCCATTTTGTCCTAAAAAAAAGAATTTTCCAGACCAATACTTCCACTTTAAAGCCCAGGCTTTCCGCACTCTTAATTAACTACTTTTTAGCTCTTTAAAAACAATGAAGAGAGGTGGAAGTACAGGGAGAAGGATTCAGAAAAGGCTCAAAAATCAAAGAAGAAAAAAACCACACGGGGAGAAGAGAGGGCAAAACCGTTCAGTTCAAGGGAAGGAACATCTTAGGTTGTCAGGAGCTCCATGTTCTTACCTACGATGGTAGCGGGGTTTGGGTTCGGGCTTTTATTGGTTTTGCTACTGTCCAGGGTCACTGATGGAGTAGCACCTGGCTGTGGAAACTCAAGACTACAGAGACAGCAGGCTCTCAACACAACCTTCAGAAGCTTTCCAGATTCGCGCTTGGGCTCTCTTCCTCCTTCCCAGGGTCTCCCGCGCACTGGGAAACGCGGCAGCCGCCCAAACACAAGATGATCTGGGCAGCCTCTCTGTCGGCTTGAAGCCCCAACCAGGACTTAAGATGGCGGCCAAATACCGCGAGGAGCCTGGAAACCGAGACGAATCTGCCCAAAAGAAAAATGGCCTCCGCTCAGGATCTCGCGGCTTTCAAGAAGGGCCCAAAACAAAAATGGCGGCAAAGGATGCCTATTTAGAGGCTGCGAGCGCAGTGAATATGATTGGCAGGTGACGAATCACGGTTACCCACAAAACTAGACAGCGGAGGTGATCGAGAGAAAGAAAAAATAAAACGCAGCATTTCTGCGGTATGGAGTGCTCCTTCACACCAGAAAATTACTAGCACAAGGATGGGAAGATTATAGGAGACAGGTTGGAAAACAAAGGTGGTTTTCACAATGCCAGGTAAAATTTAAAATAGCCATAGTTTCCTCCATAATTCTCTTGAATGGTACAGGAGAATAAAAGTTTTGCCTTCGAACTAAAAGGCAGGATGAGGAGATAGCGAGGACGCTATCTAATTGGTGAAGGGCACGGACATAGAAAACTTCCAACCTCCCCATAAGCCCCAAAGGAAACCTGAAACCCAAAGCTGCTTGAATGCAACTCGCTCGCACTGCGAAGGTCCGCTTTCCAACCCGATCCGGAGAAATGGTGGTCGTCGACTCCTTTTCTCCTTGTTTTCGAGGCAGTCGTAAAAGAAGGCGGGGAATTGGCGCTGGACGACAGAATAAGGCGCTTTGTGTTTAGTCAAATCAGGGAGGCCTGAGAGCCGCCGAGAACCGTTGATCGCTTTTTCATTCTTTCACTGAGTGCCTCTTAAGCGCGCGCCCTAAGGAAGGTACTGTGCCCTAACAAGGCCATTTGATAGGTTATTTAAATTTTTCAGTTTCAACAATTGAATGAAATTAACGCTGAATAAGCCCCGCCCCCTGTTCTTTCCGGCCACTGCCACTACTTTCTTGGCTGAGAACTTCCCTAAAACCCGGAGGAGCGGAATCCGAGCGGGGCCGCGCCAATCGCAGAGCTGCGCATGCTCCGTCTCCAGGCTCGGGCGCGGGTTGCCGGGACTGGCGGCGGCGGCGGCTGCGGGAGGCTCGGCCTGAGGGGCCTGCTGGCGGCGCGGCCTAGGGAGGCGCAGCGGCAGGTGGGCAGGTGAGAGCGCTGGAATCTCAGGCGGAAAAGCGGCTTTCTTCCCAGCCCAAGAGACGGGAGGGGCGCTTGTAGGTGCCTCCTCCCCACTCAGAAAGGTCACTGGTGTCCTCACTGAAGGATATTTGGGGGCGGGGACAAGGAGGAGGCCTGCTCTTTGGAAAGCTAAAGATCTACCTTTGAAGTAGCCAGAGGCAGGAAGTGCTTGCTGAAGTGGATGTGGATGGCGAGGAGGTGATCCAGTGTTGTGGGTAGAGTTCCAGGTGTAGAGCATCCTCACTGTCCCATCTGCACGGCCACACCGTGGGGTAGGTGGGGGTGTTCCAGGGACGGCCCCGATGGCACCTGCGCTGCCACCTGCTAGCCGGAAGCTGTGACTCGTCGCTCACTCCTTCGCTGGGAGAGGGCACTGTATGCTGGACCTGGGAGGTGAGGACCACACGCTGACGTGGAACTGGACGTCAGAACTGCTGTACAGCGTGGTGGTGCCACCTGTGTGAAAGCAAGAGTGGGACTCACTGGGCTTATGACGTTATGGGGATGGAAGTCATGTTGAGATGGAGGAGACCTCCCGAGGTCGTGTTCATCTTCCTCCCGCATGGGACCATGCCCATATCCTCTTGCTGTTTCAGAGGCTTTCAATACTGGCAGTTTTATTCATTTCATTCATCAACATCGCCAGTTTATCTATTAACATATATATATTATGTTAATATATCTGTATATATATATAGTATATATATGTCCTACCCACAAATCTCCTCCTGTGCTGAGTTAGCAGATACAACAATGACCAAGACAAGCATGGTCCTTAACCACATGGAGCTTATATTCTAGTGATGGGAGAAGAAACAATAAACAAGCACACTAATAAATGAAGAAGATGTTTCCAGATTGTCCTAAGTTGGCTTCCCTGGGAAGCAGACTCAGGAGGAGGTTTGTAGGCAGGACATTTATTAGGGAGAACTTTTTGGCTCTTACCAAGGAAGAAAGGAAGCAGGATTGGGTGGATATAAAAAGGTGAGCTGCAGTGCAGTCCCAAGGAAGGCTTCCACCAGTCCCAGGAACTCTGGTGCTGGGTTGGCCCTTCAGAGTTGTCCCAAGTTGGAGGGAAGGGCCAGGCCCTTATATCCCTGCGTTGATCAGTCATTGGATGCCCATTGCCCTGGAAAGAGGGCATAACTTAAACTCTCTTCAGCCAGTCAATCCTGGAAAAGGACTGACAGATGAGAGCTGTCTCAGCACTCCCAGGAGCTGGGGAAATAAGTCTCATTCTTAAGTGGGATTAAGGTGCACATCACAGCATTCACCACAAAGGTAGGGCTTTGAAGGTAATAGTGAGATACGCTAGAGAATAATGGGGGTGGTAGAGGGAAAAACTAGATTGAGTGCTCAGAGAAGGGCTCTCTGAGTAGGTGACGTCTGAACTAAGAGACGAGAATAAGCCACCCTACGAAGGACAAAAGGAGCAAGACTCTCTGCCTCCTGCTGTGCACTGAGAATATACCAGAGAAAGGAACAAATGACTGCTGCTTTCTGTTACAGTGGGTGCAGTTACCAGTTTTTATAGATATTGATTCCCTGCTGTAACTAAAGATGAAGTAAGTAAAAATGGATTGAGACTAATTCAGAGGTAGAGGAGAAAATGAAAAGTACAATTTTGAAAAATTAGTCAAATTGGTAAAGACTTTTAATCTCTACAGTATTTTTTTTGCTACTATAGAGCATTTAATCATCTTTTATTAGGATTGTGCCTTTCTCTTCTCCAGCCTGTGTTCTCTTTGAGGACAGGAACCATGACTTATCCATCTTGGTAGTCACACCCACCCCCAGCCTAATGTCTTGCTAGCACCTAATAGACACTGAGTAAACATTTGAGTAAAATTAATCTCACGTATTTCAAGTAAAAATTGATAAGTCCTAAGTGATGTAAACACTAAATATAACTGTATTTGGATCTGTCTTTACAATATTCCCCAGGTTTATGAGTTACAACCAAATATTAGTTGAAATATTAGATAATAATATACAATTGCTTTGGTCAAACAGGAATCTCAAGAGGAGCCTGTTTCTATGTGTGATTTGTTTTAAAGGTAATGTACTTCAGTAATAATAGCTGCCGTGTGTTGAGCACTTCCCACATACCAGACACTGTACTAAGCAATAAATACGTAAATATATATGTAGCAATTTTCATAGTGTAACCCCATATTGCAGATTATGAAATTGAGGCAGGAAAGAAGAAGTAATTTGCCCAAGATGATAACTAATTTGTGGTGGACATTAGAATTTGATTCCCTTCATTACTTAAGGCCTTTGGTCTTAAGTAACCAACATTTCTGAAAATGCAGACTAAGTTTCATCACAGTAGGACTCATATTTAATCACTTGGCAACTTCATTAACTTATCAGAGAAGCAAATACGAAATTATTCATTCTCTCTTTACTGTTTTGCTCCGTCCTTGAGTTTTCCTGTTTCCTCACGATTAGCTTTCCTGGCTCTCACTTTAGAAGCTTGACTGTTATCTTTCCTATAACATCCTGAATCTGATTGCAGATCCACCCCCCTCTAATCAAAATAGCCCCGATACCTCAGAACCCCTTTCCTGAGGATGTGGGTCTTTTTATTCACATCTAGACTAACTGAACCTGCCCAGAGAAGGGGCCTCCTTGATGGGGACCACTTCCCTTAGTCTAGGCAGTCGTTCCAGTCCTCCCTTGTTCTTACTACACTCCAGGTTGACTTCAGTAATGTTTTTTCTTTTTGAAATAATCAAAATAATAATAATAGCTAACAATAATAAGTCCAAACTAAGTGCCAGGTGTTGCGCTAACCACACAACGACTTTGTGATATGGAAGTCATTACTTTCATTTTATGGATGATGGAATTGAGACATAGTGAGGTTAAGTGAGTCATCCAAGGTCACACAGCCAATTGTGAAGTGGTAAGGTGGAGGTTGGCCAGCCCTGGTGGTCTAGTGGTTAAGATTTGGCACTTTCACTGCTGCAGCCTGGATTTGTTTCCCTATCAGGGAACCACACTGCCCATCTGTCAGTTGTCATACTGTGGCATGTGGGTGTTGCTGTGATATATGCCACAGATATTTCAAATACCAGCAGGGTCACCCGTGGTGGACAGGTTTCAGTGGACCTTCCAGACTAGACAGACAAGGACGAAGGACCTGGCCACCCACTTCCGAAAAAATTGGCCATGAAAGCCCTATGAATAGCAATGGCGCATTGTCTGATACGGTGCCGGAAGATGAGAGAATGGTGCAAAAAGACCGGGCAGGTTTCCGTTCTGCTGTACACAGGGTTGCTAAGAGTCCATGGTACTAACAACAAAAGGTGGAGATTGAAAGCCCAGGCAGTAGGATTCCACAGTTTATCCCCTTAATCGCTACACAACAATGCAGTCTTACTAAAATGATTTGCTGTGCTTTACCTTCTGAAAACTGGTAGGCAGGAACTAGATCCTGGTGGATCTAGTGGGCTTTTTATGCTGTACTAAGCAATTTAGATTTCACCTTTTAGTCAAAAACATCACTAAAAGCTTCTAAGCAATCCAGAAGCACGACCAGATTTGGTGTGTTTTTTTGTTTGTTTTTTTGGAAGATGGCTGTGTTAAGAGTGTGGAGAATGGATTAGTGGAGAGTAAACTGGAACAGTGGTTCTCAAACTTTAGCTTCAGAATTACCTGGAGAATTCGTTAAAACACAGATTACCGGACCCCCACCCTAGCATTTGATTCAGTAGGTCAGGGGCAGCCTAAGAATTTGCATTTCTAATAAATTCCCAGGTGATGCTTATGCTACTGGTGAGGGCACCACACTTTGAGAACTACTGGGCTAGAAGCAAGGAGATCATGTGAAGTAACAACGGTTGGGACTGAGGCTGTGGGGAGAGGTTATATAAAAGAAATGTCATGTCAAATGGCAGGATTGGGTGACGGACTTGAGGAGGAGTATAAGGAAAAAGGCAGAGTCCACTATATCCACATTTCTGAATTGAATGGCTTGGTAGATAATGCTTTTTTAAATCGAAACCGGTAATGTAGGTGGACAGCAGTTTGGGAAGGAAAGAGGATTCATTTTTATATGAGATGCGTTTAGACTGTTTGTGGGGACACTTAGATAAAGGTGAACAGTAGCGGTTGGATATGTGAGTCTAAGCGGGAGACGAAGATGCAGGAGTCATTAGTGGATGTCCTAATAGTAGAAGCTTACGAGGTGAATGAGACCGCCCAGGAAACAAGAAACAGGGAGAAGACGACCCAGGACAGGGTGAATAGGTGGATGGAAACCAAGGGGCCATTAAAGGAGACTGAAAAGGAAGAGACTAGAGTCTCAAGTACTTAAAGAGTTTCAAGAACACATCAAAATGCTTCAGAGAGATCAAGTAAAGGGAGAGATTGGTGATCGGTATAGTCAGAGCAGTTTCCATGGAGAGTGGAATGAAAGCAGATTACTTGGGTTTGGAGATGGAAGTAGGACATGACTTTAGATAAAGATGCATTATTTGAAAGGAATCAGATTGTGTAGTAGCTTGAAGGGAAGCTGGTAAAGGGCAGTTGCTTTAGGGAATTTGTTTTTGGTTCTTTTCAATGGAGAAAAATGGTCAGGTTATGCAGAGGAGGAAGACCCATTGCAAGTGAGAGGCGGGAGACAGAAGAGGGGATAGTGGAGCTAGAACCCTGAGGACACAGTAGGAAGTGGGACTGACCGGAACTTGGGGAACAGGAGTACCTGTTCTTCCTGAGACAGCCAGGAAGGAGGTTAGATGAAAGCTGAGATGGATGGGTTTTTACATGTGGGGACAGGAAGTTGAGGGTGCTAATACCCAGTAGCCATAATTTCCTCTGGCCAGTAGGTTATCTGCCCTAAAGTGGAAAGTAAATAGAAATCTCAAAAATGATGAAGATAGAAATTGGCCCTATGGGGGCCAGGGCACATAAAGTCACTGCTGTAGCACTGAGGGGCCCAATCAGCTGCACATTTAATCTGGAACAATCTGGCTATCTGCATGATACCCACTTTCCTTCCCCCCACCAACCCCAGCATCAAATGGCAGCCAGGTGTAAAAACAGGAGATGGGGAAAAAAGGAGATAGAGGGCCGGGCCAGTGGCGGAGCAGTTAAATTCACACGTTCCACTTCGGTGGCCTGGGGTTCACTGGTTGGGATCCTGGGTGCACACCTACGAACCGCTCATCAAGCCATGCTGAGGCAGTGTGCCACACAGAGCAACTAGAAGGATGTTCAGCTATGATGTACAACTGTCTACTGGGGCTTTGGGGAGAAAAAAGGAGGATGATTGGCAACAGATGTTAGCTCAGGGCCAGTTTTCCTCAAAGAAAAAAAGGAAATGAAAGGATTCTCAGATAAGTCTATAAACTTTATAAACTCAGTAACAATACTACAGCCTTTCTGAGAACCCACAGCCTGCCAGTAAGCTGATTTTCTCTTCCTCATTAGTCAATAATCATTCACTCACTGTTCAAGTTTGGGACTGCCGACATTTAGTAAAGCTCCCATATACAACTTGTGATACTTTCTGTATATTACTTATTTTTACTTATAAATAATTGAATTCACAGTAGTGAGAGGGGACAGTAGAGACCATAAAATACTTACGTGTAACTGTGTTGACCTTCACTGTACCCTGAGGACTCCCGACCTACTCCTGACCAGGCTGTGCTGGCAGCAGCCCAGCTGAGTGTAGGTCAAGCTGACCTTGAATGGTGCGGTGGGAGTGGTGGTAGGATTCTGCTATATGGAAACTTGAGGACTCAGGGAGGATCCATTCAGTTCATCAAAAGTTGACAGTAATGTTTTCGGCGTGTGTGTTTTTACAAGACTGGAAAAGTTCAGCAAAACTGTATTGTTTTAGGTAATGCAGTTAGAAAAAAAGAAGGAAAACTATTGTTCTTTTTAGCATGCCAATCAGTTAAATAGGCCTGAAGATAATATGCAGTCCTTTCTAATATGTACACAAAAAATGCCAATATTAAAACTGCTATATTAAAATTTGAGGATAAAAAGAACTATTTTTAGTGTCAATGATTGGAATTCAAGAATGAAAAATTCACCAATACCTAAGGCCAACATTGTTACTGTAAAAGAAAAGGCATACAATTCCAATAAAATTCATCTAATGTCAGAATCACAAAAGCTAGGTTAGTTAATTGTTTAACATTCTGCCTAATGTTCTCTTCATGATTAACTTGCATTTGGTGGAAGTTTTTAAAAACTACTATTTTTTCAAATACTTTAAGCAGAACATGCAGTGACGACATAAAAAAGAATCTACCTTACACTGTGTGCAAAAGACCAGCAGATGGCGCCCCGCAAGCCCAGGAGGCAAAATAAGAACATTTTACAGACTATTTCCTGCATCCAGGTTGTTGTAGGCCTAATTTAGTAGTGGCCAATAGCAAAACTTGGTGGTTTTAATGGACATGATGCTACATGGAAAGAGTAATCTGATAACTAGAGCCAGGCTGTTTAGGATTTTCTGGGAAAATTTGTCCTTCACCTTACTGTCCAGTTCTGTCACCAAGAAACCTTCATTCAGCTTGGAATATAACAAGTTGCAGTGAGCCTGTCAGGCTTTAGTGGTAGAAATTGAAGAGATGGTAATCTCTGTAATACAAATGGAGGGGAGGAGAAGTTGCTGTCCTAGACAGAGCAATGCCTTAAATTTAAGGAGTATTTGTGGTCTGAAGCATACTTCTCAGTATTTTCCTTTCTTGGCCTTTCTGTTTATACATACACAAAAAGATGATGATGTTTTAATGAGGTAGAGATATAGGAAGCTTCTCACTATTCATTCTACACAAAGAACTAAGCTAAAGAAAACTGAACTAAAGTTAACCCAGCTAATCTCAACCATTGGAAGGTCACAGATGTGGGTTTGGAGGATATAGACTCTTCTGCCCTCTTGTCATTTTGGACAAAGTGGCACAAGACCACTATTAACCTCTTACATACCTGACATGAGAATCAGAAGAACATGTCAGGTGAAGTGCGCCAGGTTAGTTGACCTCATTGACCCTCACATGTGTGTATCACGCACTCAGAATGTACTCATCCCCATCATCATGCGCTGGAAATTCTGATTGACTCTATTGCCAAAACTTGGATGCTAATTCTTGACTTTTGAAAATTGCTCAATAGAATACCAGCGAAGACTTTTAGGATTCAAAATCTAAGTTGAGTGCCACAATTAACTGACAGTAATCTTGGAATCAATCATTTACTATTTCCTCATTTATAAAGCAGTCTCATAAAATTGCTATGAAAATAAAACAAGATAAAAAATATGAAACCTTTTGAATAATGCAAGGTATATATTTTTGAAAGAAGAATATAAGAAAGCGTGGTCTGTGTTAAGATTGCCTCTAAACATTTTCTAAACTTAACAAAATGCGTTTCAATGAATAAAACCATAAATATCTACTTTCTATTTTGTGTAACCTAAAATTTGCTAATCTCATTTCATTTCTCATGGTTTCCCCCATCTTTCTAAAAAGTCCCATACCTTCTGTTCTTGTTTGTTTGTTTAGGAGTGTGTTTAAAGAAGATTCAGGAAAGATAAGAAAAGGGCAGTGGCAGGTGCACTAAAGGAGGGTAAGGAGGAAAAATCGTCCCCCTGGCATTTCTGTTGCTGCTTTGCTTCAGCAAACTTGAAAAGCTCAATGAATGAACAACAAGCACTAACTTATTTTAGCGACCAGCCTATTACTGCTCATCAAATCTGATCATTTTGAGCACATTCTTGTTTTGTTTCAGATGCAGGAATCTCTGGTGTCCATAAAAATAGTTCCATACCACTTGGAATGATTTGCCAAGTGTTTTGAGGGAAGGACCAGCTCAAGATACACTGTATTTAGCTTAATTTTCTGTTCCTAAATTGAATCTCCCAGTCTCTCTGCTGCCTGGCACCATGAACCTTTGTAAAAATCAAGGTTTTAAAAACCTTCTTGTAAGTTCATTTGAAAAATGAGTTAATTGTAAAGAAATCTGGTAAATCGTTATATTATCCTGGGAAGCAGCATAGAGAGGCTCTGAGCATAGACACTGGAGTATTTACAAGAATACTTATTGCCGTAGCATATTTAGCGGTAAAGCATTGAAAAAAATCTCAAGTTTCCATCAATCAGCAATCTGTCAAATTAGGATATCTCCGTGCAATCACACGCTGTACAACTATTAAAAATGATAATGAAGATTTATATTCTGGGAGGGAGAAAAGATTACAAAACAGCCTGTAGATTATGATCACATTTTTGTTAAAGCCAAAAAGATTACAGGCGTTTTTAGCTTTCTTTTCCTTATTTCTTTTCCTTATTTCTATAATTTTCTAACTTGAAAAAGTAAGCCTGTATTATATTTATTAGAAAAGGGCAGTGATGCTAATTTTCCCTTTGAAAAAAATCCGACAGAAGAATTGAGAAGAAAAAAAGAGTTAAATCAAAATTGTATCCCCAAAATATATTTGATTGTATTTAAAAGCTCCACAAGAAGATATGAACAAAATAAGGAACACATTACCTCACTAACTGCTACTGCAGATATCAAATTTCAAACCTTTGTTGTCTTTTTCTTAAAACTAGCAATGAGCCTTATTTAGTAAAGTCTAAGGTGTCTGGCCTGGGAAGTTGTTTATTCAAGCAATAGAATACATGTAGTGCGCTAGAAAGCTTGCTTGGTGGAGACGGACTGTTAGATATATGGTGTGGTTTTATGTGGATTAAATGTGAAGACTCGAAAAGTACTTTGTAAAGAAAAAAGCCCTACCATCCTGATCCTAATCATTTTCCAAGCCTCTCAAAGGACAACAGAATAATCATCAGGAAATAGTTACCTGCTTTCTCACCCCCATTAGCCACATCAATATGTGAGATATGGAGAATCTGAATAAATGGGAGCATGTAGGTGTTGAGTAAACATTAAAGCAATTAAACATTAAATCAGTCCACATCATTTACTAACCAGGAAGTGCTGTTTCTGGGCCTCGGTGATATTTGGCAAATAATGAATTTTCAGCCGAAATAGATACAGATTCTCAGGCTTAACCTAAACCTAGAAAAAGATGCATGGATCCTTAAGTTATCCTAATAGATAAGGATAATAGACTGTTAAATACAATCTGAATAAAATTGAGTGCCTTCTTTGTCCAAAGATTCGTTAAGTATAGGGAGCTAACTGGATGCTAATCTGAGACTCTTCTCAAAGAGGTTCACAGTACATCACATTACATACTGTGATCTACATGGCATTCATATAAAATTACTGTAATGTAAGAGATTTCATGATACTAAAACTCATATAGATGCAACTGAACCTAATTCTTAGGATGTCCTGTAGATGATGGAGCAGTCTTTGTTGTCCTGTGCTCAGAAAGGAACTTGGAAAGTAGGTCCATTCATATCATCACAAGTCTATAAGCTAATCACTAAAGACTAATGAGTGTCCCTTAAATAAAAAAAAATGAGTCTTTAGAGATTGTCCAAACTCAAGTTCTCAAACCCAACACATCATCAGAAGCAGACTTCTTAGGCCCCACTCCACACTTTCCAAATCAAAGACAGACAGAGGAAAAAAATCTATTTTCAATATTGACTAGCTTTGTAACTCCAGGCAAGTTACTAGCCCCAGTTTCTTCACGTCAACCAGGTTGACGGTAACCCCCCTAGGGTGGAGTTATTAGTGATAAGGGTAAACACTCTAAAATGCAGTGATTCAGCACATACATGTGGAAATGGCATTAATTCATCCTAATTCATAGAGTCCAAGCCAAATTCTTTTGCTACAATTGAAATCCACGCATGACTGTCTCAGTCTCAGTTGGAATGCTATCACTTACATCCTGTCAGAGTGCAGAATCTAAATTCTTATTGCATATTTAAGGATTACCATTTAATTCTTCTTTTAAAATTATGACTAAATGTAATTTTTTAAAAAATCTAACTTCATTGTGGTTCAGAGAAAGTATAATTAGTTATATGAAGAAAATGATATCCATGTATGAGTGTTTCCAACGATCCATATAGCTTTCCCTGCAGCTAATGTTGCTTCTTTATAATTGTTGACTAATAAAAGTTTGTATTGCTTTGTAAGTTTCCCAAGCCTGACTTCAAAGCTAACCCTTTGAACCTACAACATATCTCTTTTTGTTAATTAACATTGCAATATATTGTAATTAAAAATGTTTAACAGTAAGCTTTTATGAGAGTGTAATATTCTACCTGTGGTGGTTTATAGATGTGATCTGAGGGAGGATTTTTTGTTTTTGTTCTTTCTCTTTTAACTGTTGACCTTTTCTTAGGTGCACTGATGCTGAAGAACTATGAGCTTTCAGAACTTCTGGAGAGACTACAAAGTTCTGGTTGTTATGGTACCTTTAGTTGGGCTCATACATTTGGGGTGGCACAGAATCAAAAGCAGCCCTGTTTTCCAAATACCTAATAAGGACAAGGTTCCAGAGCCAGATAATCTGGCGCTTGCAAGTTCTCAGAAGAGCCACATCCAAGAGAAATAGAAGGCTTGCAATCTTCAGGTAAGTTCGATTTAATCTGGTCAACCAAATGATATGTTCCAGCAATGGGAAATGTGATTTTTTTTTTTTTTTTGGTGAGGAAGAATAGCCCTGAGCTAACATCCATGCTAATCCTCCTCTTTTTGCTGAGGAAGACCAGCTCTGAGCTAACATCTATTACCAATCCTCCTCCTTTTTTTTCCCCAAAGCCCCAGTAGATAGTTGTATGTCATAGTTGCACATCCTTCTAGTTGCTGTATGTGGGATGCGGCATCAGCATGGCCAGAGAAGCGATGCATCGGTGCGCGCCCAGGATCTGAACCCAGGCCGCCAGTAGCGGAGCGCATGCACTTAACCGCTAAGCCACAGGGCTGGCCTGGGAAATGTGATTTTTAAAAAAGTATACAGCTCTGGCAAGAAAAAGCCTCAGGTGGTTAGTTACCTGTTGTTTTGTGTGTGTGTGTGTGTGTGGAAGATTAGCCCCAAGCAAGCTAACATCCATTGCCAATCCTCCTCTTTTTGCTGAGGAAGACTGGCCATGGGCTAACATCCATGCCCATCTTCCTCTACTTGATATGTGGGATGCTGCCACAGCATGGCTTGATAAGTGGTGTGTAGGTCCACGCCCAGAATCCAAACCTGTTAACCCTGGGCTGCTGAAGCAGAACAGGTGAACTTAACCACTACGCCACTGGGCCAGCCCCTGGTTACCTGTTGTTTTTATTATGACCCACTGGTAAAATATTTTTCTATTAGAAAAGTTGCTTCTAGAAAAGTTTGTTGCACAGAGACCTGTGACACTTGGCTGACAGGGTCATTTGGATAACAAGAGAAAGGGCAATCCGGCCATTCTTGTCCTGTCCTTTTTTCTAGCATTGTCTCTGGGATTATGAATGTGTCCAAAGGAGCCCTTGTCTCCTTACCATAAATTCATTCCAGAGCATACCAATCTGTAATTTTCAAAAGGTTCTTTTCTTTATCATTTCTGTTCTGTTTTTTCCAAGACAAATAAACTAATTGTATTCATCCCTTAGTGTCTAATAGTTTAGCTTCAAAATAATTTGTTGCTTTTGAGAGTTACTGAAATAAGAGGATGTAGTTATATAATTCAGTTCTGTGGTCTCTTATCCATAATTCCAAAATTCAAAAAGTTTTAAAATCCAAACGGTTTTGCCACAACTCCTTTGGTACAAAACTTGATCTTAACTGACATGAGTCAGTTTGCAGTCTTTATTCCACTTAATATGAATATTTAGATTCACTGCAGAAATATTTTTGTGTTTGCTTATGAATGTTATGGTTATATTAATTATGGGTATTAAATACTATATTACTATATTATCTTGATTATGGGTGTTATTCACTCCATTTTATTTCTAAAATCCAAGAAATTCTGAATTATGAAACTTGTTTGGCCCCAGATAGAAAAGTATGGCCCTATAATTGTGGAGCGTTTTCTATTCTAATATACCTTTTTGACCTTCAGTTGAATAATAATGTGCTTTAAATTTGGCATAAAGTAGGTCAATTTGGGGTTCTACTCTTTATGGAAGGAGGACCTCAGTAAGGTTTTCCTCATTTTTAAGAGGTCTCTGATTTTGACTTGTGATAAAACTATGATAACATTATTACTTTTTGGCCAAAAAATTCCCCAGCTTATCTTGTATATTTCTGGCCTCAGACCTGCTAGAATCAGCCGTTTCTCCAAAGAACCCCAATTCCTTTTAAGAGGAAATTTTACCTGTTTGTATTTCTTTAACTCATTTTTTATAGTTTATCTCTGAATTTAGGATGCAGTCATGTATGTTTTACTATTATTTTAATTAAGTTATCCATTGCTGCAAAAAGCCCATCTGCCAGGCCTGTGCATCCAGGAATAGTCAGGGCCATTCATGTGATGGTAACTTTTGGAATTATGGGTCACATTGTTAGAAAGGAAGAGTCTTAATAGAGCTGAACGGACACTTCCAAACCTATTCCAAAAGCCAGCCTGGTATTTCATTCCATTTCATTTCTTTCAATTGTACCTTATTTTGTCTGGATCTAGACCTATGATCACAAGTTGGCAAATGTCAGCATCTTAAAATGATTTGGGAATCATCAACACTTTCAATGATTTCTTGCCTTCTTCTTTTATAGAGATATTAGCCAAAAGATGTGGTTACTGGTCTCACTACCACAAGACCGTTAGAGGTGCCAACTTGGCGTTCTACTTTTGAAAAGTTGCATGTCACTATTATGTATTGAAAATTTTTTTTAACTAGAGAAATCATTTTATTGATCACAGTTTCTATTGTGATTTGTGGTGTGTGTGTGTTGTGATGTGCAAATTAACATATGGAAGTCCCTTCACTAAGGTTTCATTTAAATGTGTTTCACAGATTTTGCTGAGTCTAAAATAACCATTGAAATACTATTTAAGTACTTTAGCTGTTCCTGGCATAAGATGAACAGAGACTTTTTTCCTCCTCATGCTATAAAAAAAGATGACTATAGCTTTATCATTGCAGGGAGAAAGCTGGCTATCATTGCCTTCACTTTATTTGGGTCCAGTTGCCATGGTTACAGCCCTTTAAATTGGGAGGAGTGGTAGCCAAAATAACACTTTGTATTATATTCTCTCATTCTCTTTACCTCTTTTTTTGCACATCTTCAAATCACTTTTTTGGTCTGTATCATACTGTGTCACGGTCTACTCTAAGAAGTACTATAGTCTGGGTAATTCGGTTATTTTTATTTATGCTAAACACCATCCAAGTGGTTAGCACAGTTAGCATATTCCTGAAAATAACTAATAATTGGCTGAAACTTCACCTTCAAAGCACCCAGCCTCAACAGATAAGGTCCATGACCTGAGATTTTTATTCTTTCCGCACATTATTAAAGTATCCGAATTTTATGCCTCAAGGCACGCCATTTACAACCTTGTTAAGGAAACTAGTACAAGTGCTGGTATATTGGTATATGAACATTTATGGTATTTAAACTCTTAGAGATCAAATTGCAAATCAGATCCTGTTTTTCTCTTTGTCATCCAGCACATTCCTGGTTTTTATATTTATTGTCATTAACCAAAGTTTTGGGGAGGATTAGTTGTAGGACATCAAAACTGAAAATGGTTGATTGATAGGGTAAAACTACAGAAAATTAGCTCTGACTTTAGCCAAATATTTAAAACATGGTTTATTCTTTGGTACAATGTGTTGTGCAGACTTAAACAGCTACGTATAGACTATACTTCAGAGAGTGTCTGCAGTTGGAATACTAACAGTTATCTTGTTCTCATAATTATTTACAAACAGTATTTGATGTAAACGTACTTTTTTCAGACCTAAGGTTTCCAAGCAAACCAAAGTTATAGAAAAAAACATAACATTAGATCTTGATGTAAGAGAATAAAAACATTTGAGGCTTTTTTTAAGACTCAGAGACCCAAATTCTATGAGTTTTATAATGTAGCGTTTCTCTTTTAGAAGCATATCATATTCAAATAACTACTGTATGCTTTCTAGCTGTGTTGTTGTGCATTCCAAAATCATTAAAATATCAGCACTTTTTCTTGTAGGAATTCATTGAGGAATAAAGGAATGAATGATTAGTCTAACTAAGTGGATTTACGTTTCTCATTTTCTGGAGGAGTATGCCAGTTGGTAGTTCCTTTTTCTAAAGAAGGAGCAGAGGATTAAAATTAATTATTAAATTGTAATCTATAAAATGTTTTGGAATTATTTCTATAAAATATTTTATTTTTATTTCTTATAGAAAGAAGCAGCTTTGAATCTGAGCTTGATATTGAAAGAAGAGATGAAAAACATCAGTTGGATTAGAAAGAACTGGCTTCTTGTCGCTGGGGTTTCTTTCATAGGTGTCCATCTGGGAACATACTTTATACAGAGGACTGCAAAACAATCTGTGAAATATCAGTCTGGAGGAAACAACGTATTGTTGAATAATGAAGTAAAATAAATGTTTGGAATTACTAATATGTCATTAAATCATTACATGCTGATTAGCTTCGTAAACACGGAGCTATTTAATTTTATAGCCACGATGCTGCATATTCAGACTTTCATTCCTGAAGAATAATTTTTTTTAATGTGAAAACCCATGACAATACAATACATAGAAAACTATGGTTAACAAAATAAAAACTGTCTTCACAAATTACCACCTGAAGTAAGATGTCTCGTTTCGAAGCTAAAAAGCCATCATTGTGTAAAAGCGAACCACTGACAAGTGAGCGAGTTAGGGCCACACTTTCCGTCTTGAAAGGAATCGTAACGTCGTGCTATGGCCCTTTGGGTCGGCTGAAGCAGCTGCACAACAGCCTTGGAGGCTCTGTGTGCACAACCTCACAGTCGTCAGCCCTGCTCGCTAACCTCTCAGTCACCCATCCCATTTTAAAGATCCTGACAACTTCCATGCAGAATCACGTGTCATGCTTCAGTGACTGTGGCTTATTCACAGCCATTCTTTGCTGCAACCTGATTGAAAATGCTCAGAGAATAGGTTTGACACCCAGCACTGTCATTAAATTAAATAAGCACCTTTTGAGGCTCTGCATCAGTTACCTCAAGTCTGAAGCCTGTGGTTGTCGAATTCCAGTTGACTTTAGTAGTACCCAGATCCTCCTTTGTTTGGTGCGAAGTATACTAACCAGTAAACCTGCCTCTATGCTCACCAGAAAGGAAATAGACCATATCAGTACTTTGATTCTGAGAGCCTTTTTGCTTACAATTCCAGAAAACACTGAAGACCACATCATTTTAGGAGAGAGTATAATTGTACCTTTAAAAGGTCAAAGAGTTATAGATTCTACTGTGTTACCTGGAATACTTATTGAAATGTCAGAAGTCCAACTGATGAAGGGATTACCTGTCAAAAAATCAGATTCCCTCAAGGTGGCACTCTTTTGTGCATCTTTATCTGGAGACCTTTCTGATACTGGAGAAGGAACTGTGGTGGTCAGTTATGGGGTTTCTCTTGAAAATGCAGTCCTGGACCAGTTGCTTAACCTAGGAAGGCAGCTAGTGAGTGATCATGTAGATCTTGTTATGTGCCAAAAAGTTATACACCCATCTTTGAAACAGTTTCTCAGTATGCATCGTGTTATTGCCGTAGACAGAGTTGGAGTGGCTCTCATGGAACCCTTGAGTAAAGTGACAGGTAAAAAGCATTCTGAGCTCTTGCTCCTTATGGTTAATAAATCACTTTTTTTTGAGCAGAGATATTCTTGGTACGTGTCACTGTTAACATCTTGAAAAATTTTAGAAGCCGCCAGCCTCGCAGCATGTGTATCATTTCTGGTAGCAAAGGTTGTTTCTGAAAAAGATCCTATATTGTTCGCTTATTAAAAATTGAATGATTATAGCTATTTTTATTAATTTTCAGCCCCAAAATGTATTGCGAGTTTATCATAATCTACAACTGTTAACCCCCAAATATTTTAGATTATTGAGAAATCTAACATCCTCATAATCATATGAAGTCTTTCACACTTCAAACAAAATTCTTCTACTTGAGGTTTTTTCAGATTTCTTAAATCACATTATATTCAGAAGGTAATTTAACTCAAGCAAAAACTGTACTTTTGCCTTAGTAGTGGTTTCTAAGTAGTAGGGGTGTGTGTGTGTTTTCTAGCTTTAAGTATCCCGAATATTTCCAGCTGAGCTCCTTAAGAACTGGGATCATCTTTTATTTTGAGCACTTACAACAGGCCTGGTCCACAGTAGGTGTTCTTAAATGCTTGTTGAATTGACAATAATGTATTTAGTAACATACAGAATTAGAATAGGCAAGAAATTCACTGTATTTCACAAACTCAGCAAGTTAAAAGCAGAAATGAAGTTGATAATCACCTGTTAGAGCCAAGGAAAAATGACAAACTGAAGAGTTCCTGATTTGAGTCATTCCTCAGTATCCCTTTAACTGCTTTCACAACCTATCAGACAATCATTTCATTCTGATTGATTGCAATTTTTAAGTTATTAGACTTATGCCATTGTTAAAGTTGACTATTTTTAGTCTTATTATCAGTCATCAAAAAGGAGTAGTATGTATGCCAGTGCTGAATACCCAATATCTCCGGGTTATTGTTCTATCTCTGTAAGACTGTCAAGTGATTGTCAAAGTGGAAATTATTAAGAAGTAAAGGACATAGTTCTTTGGAACTTATTGGTGATATTGTGGGTCAGACCTATATCCTTAAACATTTACTGGCTTTGCATGAATCGGGTGATTTCCAGTTGTGAATATTGAGTATTACAGATTATTTAGTCAGTTTTTAAAATATGAAGGCTGTTTCCATAGAAACAATATTATAAGTGGGCACTGGGTTTCCACACCAGCCCACAATTGTTATTTATCCCATATGTAACTAGAACATGGTATTAATAGCCAGTTTTAGTCCTGGATCTTGGCAGCAGAGACCTTTTGAGACAAAAGGGAAGGGGAAAAATATATATACCAGGCCCATGTCTCAATCTCAAGTAAACTAAGAATAAGTGAAGTATGCTTTGGGCCTAAGCCATCTTCCCTGGTGTATCTAGGTTAACATTACCTTCTTTCTCTCCCTTCAAACAAAATTACTCCTCTTTGTTGATGACCTAGGTTAAGTAATGGAGTTATTGTGCATGGGTGACTGGTGTGTGTGATGCTTGTCATGGCTTACAAAAGCATTTTTAGCATTTGGTTTGATTTATTTGTGGAGTAGATGTTATCTCCATTTTACTCTCCTATGGGGAAGCCCACCCAGAAAAATTAAATGACGTGACTTGACTTGCTCCATGTCCAGTGGCTGATAAGCAGTAAAGCTGGATCCTCTCACTACAGACTCTGTTGTTTCCACCACGTGAAATTATACAAGATGTAGGCTTTTTTTTTTCTTAAGTTTTAGATCACTCAAATATTCCTCATTCTTTGAGACTTTAGAAGTAATGAAGAAACGACATTCAAAGAAGTGAAATTGTTCGTGATTATTTTCTGGGTTCTTACAAATTTTTTGAGCTGAAAGTGTTTTTAGGTATTATTGTTTTAACTCCATTAGTTTGAAAGCGGAAACTGGCCCAAAAGGGTGCATTGCTCAGAGTTATAGTTTTCATCTTCAGACTTGAAATGCAAACCGGTGCAGCCACTATGGGAAACAGTATGGAGATTCCTCAAAAAATTAAAAAGAGAAATACCTTATGATCCAGCTATCCCACTACTAGGAATCTATCCAAAGAACCTGAAATCAACAATCCAAAGAGGCTTATGCACCCCTATGTTCATTGCAGCATTATTCACTATAACCAAGAAATGGAAGCAACCTAAGTGTCCCTCGACTGATGATTGGATAAAGAAGATGTGATATATATACACAATGGAATATTACTCAGCCATAAACAAAGACAAAATATTGTTGTTTCTTGTAGAAGTTTGGCATAGTTTCTTTTCTTATATAACTTTACTACATTTAGAAATTTTGGAAACATTCAAGTCATCCTAACTTCTCATTTATTCATATTTTTATTAATTTGTGCTTTGTAAAATTTTACTGTTTTATCTGTGCAGGAGGGAGGGCAAAATACTTATATAAAAGAATAACGAGATAATGTCACATACTTTATTTTGGCATAATTTAGGTAGCTATTTACATACAAACTGTTGTTAGGCAAAAAAAAAAAATTTATACATTCACTAAATAGAACCCCAAAGGAATTCAACTACACAGCTATTTGCATAGTTTAATTTGTGTGTTTTAAGGTAAAAATAATAACGCCTTTAAAGAAAAATAGCCTGTCCCCTCATTTCACCGTAATTCGACGTTAGTGGGGCTCTTAATTTTGGGTCTCTGATCCCTGAATGGCTTCCAGGGTTCCTAGACTTCCTGGAAACATATGCAAAATAGTGTGTGATTTTTTCTAGAGAGTACAAAATAGTTTCTACCAGATGTTCAAAGTCTGTAAACCAAAGAAACGTCTGCTTTATTTGCATATCATTTTAATAGCAGAATGCTACTTATTTCATAGGTTTAAGAAGATGCTTCTTGTTATTTCTTTATCCTCGATTTCATATTTTAAATGATATGCTTGTGGGACTTTTATATGGACTAGGAATAAATATTATAATTTTAAATAATTATATGCTCCATCTTTACTCATACATTTTCTGTTTTCTAAACTTTTAAAAAATAGGATCACAGCCTATTGGTTCTCTGGGCTCAATCTCCCCTAGTAGTTATGGAAGTGTGAAGGATTTGTGCACTGCAAAATTTGGCTTCAAACATTTTTTTCATCTTATTCCTAATGAAGCAACTGTCTGCAGTCTGCTTCTCTGCAACAGAAATGACACTGCCTGGGATGAGCTGAAGGTAGGTAATGAACTTTGAATTCCAATCTAGGGGCTGAGGCAGGGATTAAATAGTCCCTTGGACAGGTACTATAATTATTTTCATGTCAGTGAGCTATGTTTTTTTTTTCTTCATAACTTCCCTAAGTGGTATAGAAAGCAAAAACAACAAAAATATGAGAATTAAAGTCACAAGTAAACTGACCTAATTGCCTGTGACATTACATTAGCCTTGGCATGTGTTGCCATTTATTATTTCGAGCATTTGCAAGCAATCTAAAGGTCCTTGACATGAACTTTTCTTAAGAAATTAACTTGAATTGTATACTCTTTGATGTGAATGTGAATGTAAATAATTCACTAAGTGAATAATTCACTTAGAAAATGAGTTCCCTAGTCATACCCATCATCCACCTCTTAACAGAACTTGTTCTCTACCAGCAATAACACATGCAACTTTTATATAAGGGAAGTGATAATCTATGGTATTGGTCACAAGCTTGAAGATTCATGTGTGCTCAAGGATGTATCCTTGGTGAATATTGAAGGTCTCTGTGTTTTTATTACTGCTGGGTTGTAGCTATATTATCATCTCCATAGCAACTTAAAATAAACTCTTAGCATTTATACAATTAATTTATTTAGACTGAAATAATTTTTGTAGTAGAAGTACTAGCAAACCTTGCTGACCGAGTTTTTGAGGCTATGCATTTGTGAATCTCAATTTGAAGAGCTAAGTGTATATGAAAAAAGATATTAATCTGGTCCCTGAAAACACACATCTGGCTAAAATATTTTTCTTAATCTCTAATCTTTATTATTCCAAAATGTATTCATCACATTACAACCTTGGCAATACAGGTTTTGTTCTTTTGCAGTTAAAATCAGGCTCTTTGAAACCACTAAGTTACCGTGAGAACATGGTTATGTTTCTTTGTGTATCTGATGTCAATGTCCACTTCTGATGATTTGGGGTTTTTTTAGCTCACGTGTCAAACAGCACTGCATGTTTTGCAGTTAACACTCAAGGAACCGTGCGTTTTGTTGGGAGGAGGCTGTACAGAAACTCACTTGGCAGCATATATCAGACACAAGGTAGGTTAGATAGTCCTACTCAGACTATCTCAGTTCTCAGCAATATTCATTTTATGAGATGATAAGCCAAATGATAATACCCTAGAGCCTTCAATGCTTAATTTCTCAGTAGTCTAAATCAGGTATTATATTTGAAAACATTTGAGGAAAATAACATTTGCAAATATGAGGTAATATCTTTATCACAATGATTATTATTAATCCAACCTTTTAGCAAACGATCACATTCTTTGAATATTGTCTAAATAGACTGCATGTTGAAATGAGCTTTCTGTTAATGGGAGTTGTCATATGAGAGATCTCTACTGCTGTGTACAATAATAATTGATATTCACAATGACAGTGTTGAGATTCTACAAAATACTTCAATACCTCCTGAATCATCAAGAAAAGAATTAATTTCATTTATTAAAGCATTCCAAGTGTTAGATTCTATTATAATTTTTAAATTGGTATTCATTTTATGATACATATTAATTCTATCAAATAGAATTTTTTTATTAATCTAGGAAACTCCATTTCCTGACAATAGTCAGATAAATTTAGTGCATCATAGTTCTGATTAATTACTTCATAAATACTGTCCTACTTTATTTGAAAATGGACACACAAGGTATGTGTTTTCCAAATATTTGCAGTTGATTCTTTGGTTAGTTAGGAGTGTTATCAAGAGACTCTGCAGGGCTTCCAGTGGATGCCAGGAACTGGAGAGAGTATAAATGTTTTTTGTAGACATGCCCCACCCTGCTTCCCCACATAATTTAAAATCTATTTGATGATAAAGCCCATTCATGAAAAGTTATCAGAATATATGTTATGAAAAACAAAATCAGTGCCAGTCTATTGATGTTAAATGGACGATAATATAGTCTGCAAATGGGATTGAGTAAAGAAGAAAAAGGTTTTTGGAAGAGGAAGGTGTCTTGAGTAGGATTTTGAAGAAAAATATAGCAGTGAAAATATGGGAAAAGAATATACAGTAGAGATTATCTCATTTGGTTCAGACCTCCTGGGCAAAAAAATAGTGGTCACTGTTTTTAAGTAAACTTAAGTTTTTAATTTTAGGATATGGGTTTTTAACTGTCATTCAGTTATTAGTTTGCTAATATGTTACTTTTTCTTTTACCATGAAATTTCTTAACCTGTTTTATCTTGAAGTCTGCTTTGTCTGATATGAGTATGGCAACACCTGCTTTCTTTTGTTTGCCATTAGCTTAGAGTATTGTCTTCCATCCTTTCACTCTGAGCCTGTGCTTGTCTTTAGGGCTGAGATGTGTTTCCTGGAGGCAGCATATTGTTGGGTCTTGCTTTTTAATCCATCCTGCCACTCTGTATCTTTTGATTGGAGAGTTCAATCCATTTACATTTAGGGTAATTTTGATATACTAGGGCTTAATGTTTCTGTTTTGTGACTTATTTTCTGGTTCTTTTGCATTTCCTTTGTTTCTTGTCCCATTTGTTTCAGACTGCCAATTCAGTTTGGTTGTTCTGTCTTATGACTCTTCTAGTTTTCTCTTTGTTTATCATATGTGATTTTGTTTTGATTATTTGTTTAGTGGTTACCTTGAGGTTTGTGTAAAAAATCTTGTGTATGAGATAGTCCATTATCTGATGGCCTATTTCCTTATACTAAGTCAATTCAATCACTCGCCTCTTCCCCTTCTAAGTCGTTCTTGTTATATCTATCTTGTGTTGTGGCTGTGTGTTTACAGTGATGAGGTTAAATTTATTTTTGGTGAATTCCTTCCTTTGATCTTTGATTTTGGTATTTAAGTGGTTGCTAACCTATTCCAGTAAAGATCTCCCATTTTTCTGAGTTTGTCTACCTATTTTTCTCCTTGCTCCAAGCTTTGTATTCCCTTTCTCTTCTTTTTTTTCAGGCCTGAGGGCATTGAGTGTTTCTTGTAGTGGGGGTCTCGTGGCCATGAACTCCCTTAGCTTTTGTTTATCTGGGAGAGTTACTATTTCTCCATCATATTTGAAGGATATTTTTGCTGGATAGAGTATTCTTGGCTGAAAGTTTTTGTCTTTCAGTATTTTGAATATACCATTCCAGTCTCTCCTAGCCTGTAAAGTTTCTGTTGAGAAATCCACTGAAAGCCTGATGGGAGTTCCTTTGTATGTTATTTTTTGTTTTTGTCTAGCTGCCCTTAATATTGTTTCTTTGTCCTTGACTCTGGCTAGCCTTACCACTACATGTTGTGGAGTGGGCCTTTGCCTGTTGATGTATTTAGGTGATCTGTTGGCTTCGCTTACTGGTATTTCCTGCTCCTTCCCCAGATTTGGGAAATTCTCAGCTATTATTTCCTTGAATAGGCTCTCTGTTCCTCTTTTCCTCTCTTCTCCCTCAGGAATACCTATAATTCTTATGTTACATTTCCTAATAGAGTCAGATATTTCTTGGGGTCTTTCTTCATTTCTTTTTAGTCTTAGTTCTCTCTCCTCTTCCATCTGGAGCATATCTGTATTTTCCTATCCTATAAAATGCTAATTCTTTCCTCCATATTGTCAGCTCTGTTCTTTAAAGATTCCAGATTCTCCTTTATCTCCTCCATTGTGTTCTTCATCTCCATCACCACTGATTGGTTTTTCTTTATGATTTCAATCTCTTTTGTGAAGAAACTCCTAATCTCATTGAATTGTTTGTCTGTGTTGTCTTGTATTTCGTTGAGTGTTTTTATGATAACTATTTTGAAATCTCTGTCACTTAGGTTATGGATTTCTGTGTCTTCAGGGTTGGTTTCTGGGTGCTTGTCATTTTCCTTCTGGTCTGGTGATTTCATGTATCTTTGCATTGTGGTTCCTGTATTGGCTTTGTTTTCCTCATCCTGGAAATCTCTGGTTGCAATTTCCACCCCCCACCACTGTGTGGGGGTAAGGGGCTGTGTAACCTGAGCCCCCTGCATTCTGCCGCGGTTTTTTGCTGCCATCCGCGGGTCACTTGGTCTGGTCTGGTCGGCCGAGCTGCAGGGTCCAGTTTGCCGGGGGTAGGGGGGGTGCTCTCTCTTTTGCCCGCTGAGTCCCTGGCGTGGGGGGCTTCTCATTTGCCCCTCGTTATCTACTCTCTGGGGTGCTCAGATGTTGATGGTACCCTGTAGCAGTTCTGAGTCCTCTGTGTGGGAGTTTCCCACTGGCCGAGAGACCCTGAAGAGCTACGGTTTCCCGGCAGAGGGCCACCCCTCCCCCCTCTGTGGGAGCCGCTGACCGGGATCGCTGATCTGATGGGGAGGGAGAGGAGTTCTCCTTACCTCTCCTCACTTCCTCCAGGGGCCCAGCACGTTCCACTCTCAGATGTACAGCAGTGTGGATCTTTCTGATCTTGCTTTTCACTGTCTAGGATTCTGTTGTTGGTCTGTGACTGTTCCTTTTGTTGTATCTCATTGGGGGAAGAGTTTACGGGAAAGCTCAATCCGCCATGACGCTGACGTCACTCCTCACCATGAAATTCCTAGGATAAACTTTTTAGAATGGTGGAACCAAAAAACCGTCTAAAGTCATATTACCTTTTCATTAATTTAAATAGAACAATATTTATTTTTAAAACATTGATGTGAAAACTACATGTCCCTAAATCATTTTTTCTTAATAATATGTGTGTTCTCATTTTAAAGAAATCTCAAATATTTTGCCAAGTATAAATAAGTACTTCATTTGGGACATCAGTCTTGAGTAACTTCCTATTGTGTGTATAAAAACCTGTAGTACATGCACCATGCCTTGTCCTTTATATATTAAGGAGGCACCACTGGGCAGTCATTCAGAATAAGTTGTTGATGGGGTTTAGTCTGATTCATTCATTCTGATAACATGACTGGTAGCATACATTTTTACTATAACCAGCCAGGTTAAGGTATTATAGCCTGCCAGCTCACCCACACATGTCCATTAGCATTGTGCCAAACCCCTAAGTAAATGAAAGTAAGTGGTGTCTTTATGAATAAGGGTTTGATCAAATATTCTATTTTTCAGATACATATTTATAATATTAATTGCTCTGCCTGTGTTTTCAATGGTTTTATTGCTTTTAGACTTGTAATGAGCCAGAAAGCATTCTTAAGGATGAAGGATGTAATCAAACAGAACTTCACCTAATTACTGAAGCGTTTTGCAGTGCACTAGAATCTCTCGCTGCCTCTTTAGAACATGATGGAGGTGAAATTCTCACTGACATGAAGTATGGACACTTTTGGTCACTTCAGGCAGATTCTCCCTCTATTGTCAACTGGCCAGATTTGCTTTCAAGATGTGGCTGTGGCCTCTACAACAGCCAGGAAGAGCTCAGCTGGTCTTTCCTGAGGAGTACTTGTCACCCTTTTGCGCCACAAACCTGCCTTCCACATGAAGCTGCAGGCTCAGCCAACTACCTGACCTTGGACTGTTTTACTGCTAAGCTTAATGGCCTACAGGTGGCTGTGGAGACAGCCAATTTGATTTTGGATCTTTCGTATGTCATTGAAGATAAAAACTGATATCAGAGAATAGCATGTTTATATTACCAAAAAAAACTAGTCAGGTGTCAATTAAGAAAAATATTGAATGTACTTGTTCTCTCCCAAAGGCCTGTTCTGCATATCTGGAAAGATGATTCATAAAATTATAGATTTACTTAAGAAAAAAAGGTATGATTCTTGAATAGAAGTACCATAGAATAATGAAAATATGAAGCATTATTAAAGATATTGTAGTTATCTTAGGGATTCCACTTTATATTGTTCTGAGTTTTTGTTGTTATTTTGATATCCTAAGAATATACAGAAATAAAAAAAATTTCCTAATCTATGCTCTAGTTTGCATATACTTATAGATATTTTTTAGTTTGTAGTAATTACATACGTTTAAAGTGTGAAATTAGATTCCAGAGTATCACAAGGCATCCAGTACATATTGCTAAATCAAAAGAAGCATTCCAACTGCACATTTAGTAAAATTTAAGTGTTCTTTATCTGAGACTATATCATTCAGTGGTTAGATAACTGCTGTAGAACCTGGTCTACCTGCAGTTGCTAGTTTGTATCACAGTTCTTCATTTTTGTTATTTTGAGAATGTGTGATTAGGAAAAAAATAGATTTATATAGTAACTAAGCAGCATAGAGAAAAGAAGTGGAAAATTTATTTCTCTAGTTCAGTCAATAGTGCAAAAAATAAACTAGAAAAGCTCTCATATTCGAAGTAGAGACACTGATGTTTCACCAAGGAAAGTAATTTGAATTTTATGCAAATACAAGGTATATTGATAAATTGAAGAAGAAATACAGAATGCAGCTAGAGGAATAAGTATGGAGCTGTAACAGATGTTATATTAAACTTTAGGAAAACGTTTAGAAAATTTTGGGAAAATTAAACAACCCAAGAGTCAGTGATCAGATCTATAGACATGGTAGAGGGAGACAGAATTTTTAGGCAATTTCCTCTAGTACTCTTGTAATCCAAAAGAATTTTTACCCTGAGCTGAAGAAAAAATTGCAGTACAAACTCAAAGCGATGCAATATATATTGAAAAATCAACTACACCTCAAGCTTCATAAAACATTTCTCAAAAATTTTATTTATTTTATTATTAGAGTTGAATTAGAGGAGCAGTGTGGTAGGCAGCCTGTAAGTGACGCCCTCCCCCCCCCCACCGCCGTGGTTTTCAGGCCCTTGCATAATCCCCTCCCCTTGAGTGTGGGCTGGGGGTAGAGATGCCTTCAACTCTCCTATTTCCCCCCTCTGTGAACAGGAATGTCTTAATGCGGTTATCCTATGTCTGATCCATCATTGTATGTTGGCAGATAACTTGTCTTCTTAGCTTCATGAGTCTACAGATGTAGAGGAACTGTGCTCAAAGAGCTGTACTTAAGGAATTACACCTAAGGAGCCTCGCCCACCCTGACCTGGTTTCTGTGATGAGATTCCGGACTTAGAGCTGAGGTTGTAATACAATGAGACTTTTGAGGATCTGGGGAGGGTGAATATATTTTGCATGTGGTGGGCAGCCTCTAAAATGGCTCCCAATGATCCCACCTCCTGGTAGTCCACCTTTTGGGTGTGGGTGGAACTTCGTGACTAGCTTTTTGATGAGTAGAATCCAGCAGAAGTGATGGGATGTCCCTTCCGATATTAAGTTGTAAAAAGATGGGCTTGTCTCTTGATCTCTCACTCGCTCACTCTGTTGGAGTTCAGCTGGCAGGTGGGGAATTGCCCTGTGGAGAGGCCCGCATGGCAACAGACTGAGGGAGGCTTCCAGGCAACAGCTCCCAAGGAACTAAATCCTACCAACCACCACGAGAGTGAATTTGGAAGCAGATCCTCCCTAGTGGAGCCCCAATGGTAGCCTCTCATTGCACCGGCATGAGAGCACTGAGGCAGAGGACCTAGCTAAGCCACTCCCAGAGTGATTCCTGACCCACTAAATCTGTGAGATAATAAATTTTGTTTTAAAGCAAGGTTTGGGTGTAATTTATTATGCAGCAATAGACATCTAATAAAGGCAGGAGTAAAAGCTTATTTATAATTACATACTGAAATCTTGGTCACACAAGTGGAAAAAAGCATTCTTGATGCCATGCCTTTGTATTTTCCCTATCACTCCAAACATAAAGGCAGTGTTCTTCATCACACACGAGGTTTCTACATTCACTTAAGACCGTGGGTCACATAGGAATGTGGGAGTTGTCCTGGGTCTCCTTGGCCCTCTACTGCATTTCCAGTTGCTCGAAGAAGGGGTGCCATGGCGAACCTCTCCAACTGACCTTGTACGTCAAGAGTCTCCACTTCTCATGGTAGCCATTTTTAGCTCTGTCATTTTGAGCTTTGCCGTAAAATTCAATTACATTCCTTGGTGAAACATCAGTGCTCCCATTTGAGTATGTCATAAATTTGTTGAAATATTTTTATAAATTTGTGTTTCCTGAAGTTGTGTACAATCTTTACTAGAAAATACTGTAAATAAAAAAAAAAAAAACACTTCCTTAACAATTCAAGAGAATCATCATTCAAACTCAGATGGTAAAATATGAGATGAAAATTCTTGCTGAAAATAATTTCAGAAGAGCTCATTTTGACAGAAATAAATGACAAGGAAAAACAGCAACTAAGTTAATCCTCAGGCACTGTTTTGTGACTTAAAGTAAGATTGAGGTCCGAATATTGCATTATGTTGTTCTTCGGGAGACAGAACAGGAAACCCTGATTGCTACAAAAAGAAAAGGGAAAATGAGCAGAAGAGAAGGAAGTCAGTGACAGCTGCTTGGTACTTTTGTGGGACTCAAGATGTGAAGCATTAAAGGTTATTGAGCCATGGGAGTCCAACAGGATTAGCATCTTATCAGTCAAAAGAGGGTAGGATCTTGGGAGCAAGGAAAATATTGGAGAACTAACACAAATTAAAAGAGTCTTTTAAGTCAAAATACTTATTTGGTCTTACAAATACCCCAATTCCTTAAATCTTACATTTGTACTAAATTAGAGAATCTTTATAAGTTAGACATTTTAAATCAACCATTAAAGTGAAGCATTTTCCATAGGGTATTTAAATTACATACTATTATATCTTTTATTATGATAAGTATCCTTGAACTCATTTAGTTTGTATAATCAAAGCCATTTAGGCATTCACATAATAGAAAATAAAATTTAAGTACTCCTATAAGATCCATCAAATTCTGTATTCTTACATTGTTGAGCAGTTCTTTGGATAACTTTAAAATAAAACTATTGTTTGCAGTCACGTAAATTATGCGGGTTATTATTTGAGAGTATCATGTACAAAAATCACTTTCATAATCAATACAGGTCCTGTCAAAACATCCAATGCGTTAGGTTATTCCTTTCTGATAATCTTTGGGGAATAGTCAAGGAGACTAAACATCTCTTACAGGGCTCTATTTCAGCAGTCTAAATAAATCTCTCTCTTCATCTGAAGGAAAAGGCAAGTTTGAACATCTGATATCTTTATAATTTTTTTTCATAAATGTTTCCACTTAGTAACTATGGTATCCCATAATCCTTGGAAATTTTTGCCACTCACCTAAACATTTGAATTTAGATGTATCTAAACCCAATGTTAGCCTGTATCTTTGGATTATAAGTCGATTTATGTACTTCTTTATTGAGAATATAGTAATAATCATAAAAGAGAATGCAGTCCCTGAAAACTATTCCTATATGTAGATCAAGCCTTTTGTTGGAGAAATAATTCGTAGATTAAATGCACTAAAAGCAATAAAATACCATTACCTGTAATAAATTGGCTTTAGAGGGAAATCAAGCAACTTGACAATCTCCTGTTAAGAATTCACACTGAGGCATCACACTTATAAATATTTATAAGAAACATCCTATTTTAGCCCTATAGTTTTTGTTCAAAGTATTGTGATTTCTTTCTTTTTTTTTTTTTGTTGAGGAATATTTGCTCTGAGCTAACATCTTTTGCCAATTTGCCCCTGTTTCATATGTGAGCCACTGCCACAGCATGGCCAATGATAGATGAGTGGTGTGTAGGTCCACACCCGGGAACCAAACCCGGGCCGCTGAAGTGGAGAGTGCCAAACTTAACCACTAGGCCACCAGGGCTGACCCAGTGATTTCATTTTGAGAAGTATTAATTGACCTCTTTTTGTTTGCCAGATGCTATAGTCAGTGGTATTAGAGGTTAAAAAAAAATGTTGTTCACAATCCCTGACCCCAAAGAGCTAGATGTAGCCAGTGAGATGTATTTTTTAATACCATTTTTCTTTTTTAAAAAGTAATTTCCTAAAATAATTATAAGCATTATGTTGTAATAGAAAACTTGGAAAATATGAATGAGACACACACACACAAACACACAAATGGAAAATAAAGTCAAATGTAATTCTACTACCCAGAAATAACCACTGTTTACATTTTATATGCATCTTTTCTGTTTTTCTGTATATACTTTTCCAAAAATGTAACCATACAGTATGTTGTTTTATAATCTGTTCCTTTTACCTAATATGTCATGAACGTCACAAACATGTACAATCACTACACACTCTACTACTACATCATTTTTAATAACTGAAATGAAATTTCAGTTGTAGAGATTATACCATAATTTAGTCAACTGAACTTTTATTAGCATGCCTTTAGGCTGTTTCCAATTTTTGTATCAATATAAACAACAACACAATGAACAGCTTGTATATAGCCTTTTCCTAGATCCCTGATTATTTCCTCAGGATGAATAAATAGAATTAAGATTTCTGGCTCTAAGTGTATTTGAAATGGATAGGCTATTAATATATATTGTCTAATTGTCTTCCAGGAATGTTGCATCAATATGCTCTGACCACAGTGTGTGAAAGTGCTCATTTTCACGAACTTTGGCCAACACTGGTTATTATCTTTGCCAATTTAATAGCTAAAGTAGACTCCTTTTTACAATTTGCATTTTCCTTTTTATAATTTGCATTTTTTAAGTTATTAATAAGGCAGATACTTTTTTATATATTATTGGCCATGTCTTCTTTCGTTAGTCAAATGCTTGTTAACAGGTCTTCTAAGTTTTCTATCAGTTCATCTTTCTAATATGCATTTATATTTTTATATTTACTTTCTCATTTGCATTATTAAAGGTATGTACATATTAGAGAGGTAAATTTTTAAAGCAAATGCATAGCCTCTTTTCACGGTCTCAGTTTTTTAACCAGCTGTGCATGCCCAAGCTAAACATGGTACTTTCTTAATGGTACAGTTTTGTACATATCTATTGCTTTGCACTCATAGGCAGCAGCAAAACACCTATGT